GGGGGGGGGGGGGGTCCAGGAGAAGGTTTGGGTATTTTCTCTAAGACGTGGATCAAAGCAGGAACAGAGATGGGACCGTTCACCGGACGCCTCATCTCACCGGAACACATCGACCAGTACAAGAACAACAACCTCATGTGGGAGGTAAACAACATGCATTCATATTTATATTCATATTTATATTTATATTCATATTTATATTTATATTCATATTTATATTTATATTCATATTTATATTTATATTTGTATTCATATTTATATTTATATTCATATTTATATTTATATTTGTATTCATATTTATATTTGTATTCATATTTATATTTATATTTATATTCATATTTATATTCATATTTATATTTATATTTATATTCATATTTATATTTATATTTATATTTATATTTGTATTCATATTTATATTTATATTCATATTTATATTTATATTTGTATTCATATTTATATTTGTATTCATATTTATATTTATATTTATATTCATATTTATATTCATATTTATATTTATATTTATATTCATATTTATATTTATATTCATATTTATATTCTAGCTCAACAGTCATTAACATATCGCTCAATTTAACAGATGATTTAAATCCTGTGATTTCACAGAAACACCTTTTAATAAACGTAAACCTTTAAACTACGTTAACGTTCCTCGTAGTTAACAAAAGAGAATATCTGTAGTCCATTGGGTCCTAATTACATTTTATATTATTTATTTATGTTCATGAACTAGAAGGTTGGTCAGAGAGCTCAGACCGTTTAACTTTAACTGCATCATATTCCACCAGTAATAATAATAATATTTTACGTTATACATCATTCATTGTGTTTCCTGCTCCTTCTCAGGTGTTCAACGAGGACGGGACCGTCCGGTACTTCATCGACGCCAGTCAGGAGGACCAGAGGAGCTGGATGACTTACATCAAGTGTGCACGGAACGAGCAGGAGCAGAACCTGGAGGTGGTTCAGATCGGCAGCAGCATCTTCTACAAGGCCGTGGAGGTCAGTGAACGCACCGCCAACACAAACAGTCAACATCAAGACATTGTGTCTATTAAATATGAAGTACAACGACCTTTAGACTCCAAAGACATTCAATAAATCAGTTCTATAAGAAATCAAAAGAGACTATTCAAGTAGAATCAAGTTTCTGATCTTGATCAGCAGAAGATGAACCCAGAGTTCCTCAGATGAACATTATTGATTATTGATCCTTATGCATTGATTAGTGTTGGTTTCTCTCCTCAGACGATCCCTCCGGACCAGGAGCTGCTCGTCTGGTACGGGAACTCTCACAACACCTTCCTGGGGATCCCAGGGATCCCTGGAGGAGACGAGGAGCAGAGCAAGAAGACCAAGACGGGTAAAGACCTCTGATTATTGATCATAAAGACCTCCGATTATTGATCATAGAGTCGATCAGATCTAGAACCTGAGAGGGACAGATGACACATTTAGGGTTCCACACATTCAGATTCATGGAATAAAACGTGTTCATTTATGTATTTATTTTAGAATGATCATTAAATGATATAAAATGCATTTATTTATTTGTGGTTTGAGTCTGAGAATGTGACAAATATAGAATATCAGTTTGTGACATCAGTTTGACCCACTTCTCCTCCTCCTCCTCCTCTTCTTCCTCCTCCTCCTCCTCTTCTTCCTTCTCTTCCTCCTCTTCTTCCTTCTCTTCCTCCTCCCAGATGAGTTCCACACCTGTGAAGGCTCCTCTTCCTCCTCCTGCTCCTCCTCGTCCTCCTCCTCCTCTTCCTCCTCCTCCTCCTCCTCCTCCTCCATCAGTCTGGGTCGTATGCGTTGCGTCATCTGCCACCGTGGGTTCAACTCCCGCAGTAACCTCCGCTCTCACATGCGGATCCACACGCTGGACAAGCCGTTCGTGTGCCGCTTCTGTAACCGCCGCTTCAGCCAGTCGTCCACGCTGAGGAACCACGTGCGTCTGCACACCGGAGAGAGACCCTACAAGTGTCACGTGTGCCAGTCGGCCTACTCGCAGCTGGCCGGTCTGAGGGCGCACCAGAAGAGCGCCCGGCATCGACCCTCCGGGGGCGCCGGAGCGGGGGGGACGGTGCACACTGCTCACTCTCCTCCCGCTGCTCTTCCTCCTCCTCATCCTCACCCACCACAGCTCACCTCCATGCCTCACCCAGCCTCACTGGTGCACCACATCCCCACCATGGTGCTGTGATCGGGGGAGGGGAGAGAGAGAGACAAACAGACAGACAGATGATCTAAACATGACATGAATGAGACGATCAGACGTTTGTATTATTTACATTATCAGCATGCTTCACGGTTCTTCATTCAAACACTGAGACTCATGATGACTCATGAAACTGTTGCATGATGGGATGCAGCGTTCAGCCTGTGACTCTGGTATAAATGTCTGTGAGACGATGATGTCGTGCTTTGGTCTGCATGCGAAAGGTTCTGTTAAAGCGTTGTGACCTTTGTGTGTTATAAACTGTGAGGAACTACAGTCTGAAGCATCTTCACAGGAATCCACTGAGCTTCTGCTAGATCGTCCTATTGGTCAGGCAGTACCATGCTAACAGGTTAGCATACATGATGCTAAAGCTCCAACTGCAGTACAAACCTTCACACCTGGAAAAGGTTTTATATCTGGTTACTAAGGGATAACCCGTGTTAAGTGGAGTAAAATGTCAGTCACACCAAATTTCGCTGAAAAATCTTGTTGACTTTTTGATTCATGCGCTAACTAGCGAAACTGTTCCAAAGAGTTCAAAATGGAGGAAGCTAAAGTATCAAGAGTTCACTTTAACGAAGCTGCTCCAGAGTACAAACCTGGTTTACACACAGTTACTAATGTGACTCTTGAAATTATTGTGGCACTAGCATTCAAACTTGCTAGTTTGTTAGCAGGCTAGCTAGCTTGGAGTGCTAGTAGGTCTGTCTGTGGGTCCACATCACACGCCCTGGAAATGGTTGCTGCTCGTTTAGGTTCACAAAAAAACTTTAGCTGCAGAAACGTCTTGGTTAGATTTAGGAGAACATTGTGGTTTGGGTTAAAATAATTTGTGTGGATCCCAGAAGTTATCTCAGAGGGCGTGTCGTGTAGTAAAGTTGACAAGGTTGACAGACAGACCTGTCTCACCATATCCAGTAGCCACGATGTCGCTAAGCTAATGCGACTTCTAACACAAAATATTTCAGAAGGAAACAAGTTACTGCTGTGACACTCTCAGCTGTGGTCAAAGGCTAACACTAGCGTTACCTAGCCCGTGTTGAGTTAAGCTCTTAGAATTGTATCAATGATCCACACTCTCACTTTAACATAGTAGAGCTATAGTAGCCTCCAAGCTAGCACTTTAGAATTCACCTTGCTGATTGAAAACCTTGTGAATAACTAAAATGTGAAGTGATGGTTAGCTCCATGCTAACACTTTGACATAAACTACGTAGAGTAACTCTTAAGCACTAATATTTAAGCCCACGTTAGCTTCACCGGTGGTAGACGTGATGCTACACCACGCTAGTAATAGCAAACTCCATGCTAATGTACGAGCACAAAGCACCAAAGTATCTTTTGGGACTTTCCTCAATGTTAGCTGCATGCTAACATGTTAGCAAGAGTGAACAATTTTGCCGTCTTCTTATTGACCAACCAGTGGCCTAAATCTACTAAAAACTCACCTGATTCCTTTAAAGAAGCTTATCACTTATTGAAATAGGCAGAGCCTGACATTTAACATATTGTATTATTATTATTGTTAATAATATTATTGTTGGTTCATGTCTGTTGGGTCAAGACCCAAATTGGGTCTCAGGCAGGTTCAATGGACACCTGTTATAAAATATAAGAATCTAAGTTTCTAATCTCTGTAAATGTTTCTACATGATATTATTTCTGATTTATGTATAAATATGTTGTTAAATATTCAAAGAAATGAGATATTAGAAAACTTGATGAGTCCCGTAAACTGGCAGCTGTTTGTCGGCCATTTTTCTCTTCATGTGATGTAAATAATATACTATCAAAGAAAAGAATGTGAATATAAACATGAGATGTGCTTTATGCCCAGAATATAATTGAACTGTCACTTTATCTCTGTATGTGTATGAGGTCACATATGACACATGTATTGGTATATGACGTATGCTATGTTGACTTCTATAAAGGACATTGTATTTGAGCCTATATACTCCTAATAAAGTATTTACTTCCACTCTGCTCATGTCTGTACATTTATTATGTACTTCTACCTAAGTATTTTAATGTTATACTACATCTCAGAGGAAAATATTGTACTTTTTACTCCACTACATTTATCTGACAGCTGAAGTTACACTTCTAATGAAGAGATTTTGATAATTATAAAATACAAGACATTTTCATACAGTAAATTAAACAAGCCTACAGTTAATACAATTAGCGAAAATATCTGCCACCGTCTACAACAATAAAATACAGCTTACATTTTATTTCATCAATAATTATAATTAGTTTTATAAGTATATATAATTATAAGTATTTTATGTCTAGTAAATTTAGCCAATAATGCTAATGTTACGAAGGCCAGCTACCGTAGATCATTCGTTTATGTAGAACAGGAACGACCAATAGTTACTGATGATTTATCTCACTTTATCTCAAATACTTGAATCATTTTACTTTTATGTGTGACTTTGACGTGGGTCAAACTATGCTAACTAATTGCTCGGCATTACATTAACATTAGTAACCAACACAATCTTCACAAAGCTAGCTAGCTTAACAAAGCTAGTTAGCTAGCTTCTAGACATATCAACGGCTTCTAGCTAGCGCTAGCATTGGGCTGACGTCCATGCTCGCTGAGGTACCGGTTACCTGATTTGTTCAGATCCTACGCTCTGACCAATGAGCTTTCCTGACCCTAACTACTCCAGGTTAATGGTTAACCTTAACTAGTTGTCTCTACCTCAACCAGCTACCCAGGGCAGGTCTCACCAAAAGAGCAGTGGGATTCATAACTACATCTTTTAGCAAGTAATTGATGTTAATAATGTAGTAATGTCCTCACATATCCTACACAAGATAACTATTGACCAGTGTATAATGATTAAAGCTGTGCTGTCATCATTCGTGTGTCTTTACAATGAAGTGCTTACGTTACGTGATGTACTGATGAGGATTAGCATCAGCTAGCGTCCCTCTGCCTAACTGCCTCTCCAGAGATCCAATCTGCTCTCCTCCAGGCAAAGTGACATCTGCCAGTGATGGTAAGTAACTCACGGTATGTAATAAACGGTACATAGCTAGCTGTACGCGGTATGTAACTAACGGTATGTAATAAACGGTACATAGCTAGCTGTACGCGGTATGTAACTAACGGTATGTAATAAACGGTACATAGCTAACTGTACGCGGTATGTAACTAACGGTATTGTAATGTTCCACTTACGAGTTGGAGACAGAGTGAAGTCCTTGCAAGAGGTTTATTCACACAAACCGTCAACAATAGTGACAAGCAACTCCAGCGAACCTTATCAGTCTTCGTACAGTGTTTCAACAACAACTCTTCTTCATTGGTTCTGGTCTAACGACCTTGACTAGCTCCCGACACAGAACAGGTAACCCCCTCCTCCCCTCTGCTCTACCAATCACAGGCACGCACCTTGACTAACGTGTACAGTGCGTCCCGTGATTGGCCAGAGAGAGGAAAGTGACACCCTGACCCCTCTACTACCAGCTGTTACTGTACAGGGTCGCTGCAGTATGTAATAAACGGTACATAGCTCACGGTACGCGGTACGTAACTAACGGTACATAACTAACGGTAAATAACTAACGATACGTAACTAAAGGTACGTAACTAACGGTAAATAACTAACGGTACGTAACTAACGGTAAGTAACTAACGGTACGTAACT